TGAGACACGGCCAGTCAATTAGAAACTCTCTGTTGACTTGGATGGGCTTTCAACCAGACGCTATACAATTCAACAGAGTAATTAGCAAAGCTGTAACTAAAGAGGTCTCCATGGAGATTGACAGCATCACCTCCCAGCTGGTACATTCTCTGCCTCCTATTCTAAATTTGTTCTCGCTGTCTTCCTGGCTCTAATCCATAAGGTTAGCTAAATCTTCCAACACTTGTGATACATCAAAGCAGTGGAGAGAAGGACAAAGGCAGTTGGGAGGGTGCAGAGGAAGAAATAACCCGGTGCCTTAAGGAAAGCAGCAGAAACTGTTCAGACATACAGTCAGAGTTTTGAGAATGGGATTAGGCAGAACAGCACCTCTGCCTGCCTGTCACTTGCAAATTCTTGCTAATACTTTAGGAGCTTATTGGAGGTCAGCACCAAACACCCAAACAGACTAATCTGTATTATAGGCACATAATCAAAGTCACAAGGTTTTACATAATATATATTGGTGACACAAGAAGTGTTTGTTCAAATAATTTTGTCATCAAGATTAGTGGCCATGAAAGCCTCTACTGTGCACTAACCTGGTTTTCTATGGCCATTGGTACGCCAGATTCCTCAAAGAAATCGGGAAGGAGCTGAGAAAGTACAAACCAAGTTCTGAAGCAGTAACGGTGTTCGGTTTATAGCCGTGGCAAAGTTAAAAAAAAAAAGGAAGTATGTGCGTGAGCTAGAAAGGGTTGTGCTTAAGCTGCAGTTTAAGGCACGCGAACATGGCTATAGATACAATTTTTGCATCTGTCATTTTTTTCAGACAGTTTTGGGGTTGCAGCAGATCACACCTCACACTCACACATCACTTTTGTGGCAACAGCAAGAAGGAGGGATTTAAAAGACAAACTGGTGTCGTTGACCCACTTGTGAGCTTTGTGCTCCCCTTCAGAGAGGTGGAAGCTGTGGCACAGAGGGACTAAGTGGTCTACGCTCATGGAATAAGTCAGTGGCAGAGATAGGAACGGATCCCGTGTGGGAAACAATTCCATATCAACAAATCTGATTGATTTTAAAAGGAAATTAGTTTATGGAAATGTTTGGAAACGTATGGAAAAGTCTGATTTCTCCACCCTGCATAGGGCTTTGCAACTACAGTGTTAAAGAAACGCAAAAGAAAAATGTGTAAAATTACAAAAGAAGAAACACAAAAGAAAAATGGATTCACGACCATTTTCTTTGTGATGGGGAGAGACAAAGTCACAGCTCACGCCATGGGTTGCAGAGATGATGTAAAGATTCTCCAGGAGCGTAGGCCAGCCTTGTTATCATGGCTGACGCACAGCAAAGCTCAAGGTTTTGGGGGGGGGTACCCCAAATCCTCCCGTCTCACTGCAGGAGTTCACCCCACCGAACTGAAGTACCTAATTAGGAATCCCATTGCCCTAAACTTTCCCACAGTCAACGCGGAAAGAGCAAGAGCGATGCCAGCCGGACATCTGCAGAAGAGAAGTCAGAACCCGGGAGGGCTGAATTGTCCTCTAGATTTCCCGCAGTTCACATGCTGCTACCATGTGAACCCAGGGCTAAAATCACTCTGGTGGCTTTTACAGGACTCCTGAAAGCTCATTTATGGAAGCAGAGCTGACTCAACTGGCCTTCAGGTCAAGAAAAATCAAGCACTGGGTGGGATTTCCAAGCGTGTTTGGCTGTAACCTTACCCCACTCCCCTTTGAAGTCAGCAGAATATTTACCGTCGACTTCAATCAGAGAAAAATCAGGCCATTAGAGAACGTGTTTGAAACGCTCACCTCTAACGATGCTCCCGTTCCTTTGTACCTCCCTGCTCAAAGGCAGCCTGCTGCGTCCATCATTAAAACACAATCCTAGCAATTGGTTAGGTAACGCAACGAGCCTGAAGTGCAGGCCCTAGAGGCACAGGAAAATTATAACGATTAAACCATGTGAATCTCTTAAACATTACCTACAATCGCTCTGCCGGCCATCGGCCACCATCGCATCAGGCAATCAAGGAGCGGTTATCTTCAAAACTGCCGTGGAAAAGAAAGTGCCGCATCTCGGTGAACCCTGCTATGATGTAGGCTGCAGGTGGACTCCTCACACTGCAAACAATAAAAGATCAAAATAAAACTGTACATTGAATTAGCTGATACCAGAAAGAGCAACAACGAAAAAAAGCCGTTAAATGCAGACAAACATCCCGTTGCCAGGGCAGGCCGGACTGGCTTGCTGCTCTAAAGGTAATGGAAGGAGATCATCGCTGCTTTGCAGCCATCGCTCGCATCCCTAGCCTGTGTTCAGAGCTGCTGCCGAATGAATGCCAGGAGGGGAGCACCCTGTTTATACCAGATCTGCATTTCGTTGTCTTCGGGCATTTCGAGTTACGGTGTCAGTGGCCCAGAAGAGATGTACTGACTCTTTCTGATGGCCGTCATCTGGTTCCGAGCAATGCAGACCATATGATGTCTTGCATCTGGTGGTAAAAGAGTACCCAGGGCAAACTGAAACAAAACCCTTCGCCTTTGGCAAGGCTGGTAACGTGCCCAACTGACCGGGCAGGGTCTGCTTCTGGCAGGGGTCATGCTCTGATCATGGGCAGAGGACAGGGACTGTGTGACAGCCAGGACTGCTGACAAGCAGCAATGCCAAACGAAGGCAATAACTCTTCAGTTAAAAAGAATTTTGTCCTAATTTAGATTTAAATTCCAAGAAGACGGAATTGACACTGAAAGGATTTCATGATATTTGTAGGAATAGAAATAGTTCCATTTTGTGAAAATTAATTATTGTTTATAGCTAAGTTTTGGATACCAAACCCTCTGAGGAGCTCTGGGACTTCCAGGTTGTCTGGAGAAGCCAGCACTTGTTGCCTGAGGAAAAGCCAAGTCACTGGGAGCTGCTCTGCATCTCCTGGAGAGGCTCCCAGCCCCAGCGAGGGCTTCCAAACTTCAACAGATTCACTCGTTCGGTGATGTCTCACAACGAAGAACAAAACCAGGCAAATCTGCAGCAGTTTTAGCTCACCTCAGGAACTCTCAGCTCAGACCTCATCCACTGAAAGGTTCATAAACTTCCCAAGAGGCTCAGCTCAGAGTGACGGTGAGCTGATACCTTCACTGCAGTCACGGGGGATTAAGGCTTGTAGTACAAACCTGGAGAAACTCTGGGTTTTCAAGGAAGAAAGATGAGAGCTGGGAGGGGTTTAAATTAAAATTACCACAGCAGGTTAAAACCTTACTATTTATTTCAGTTGAATCTCATCACAAACAAAAGCAATGTGATATCTCTATACTGAATTAGGTTTTTGACAAGCAAATGGTGCCCATGGGGTTGGAGCAGGGTCTCGGGACTCCAACCTTTCACGGCTGTTGCTGTGGGAATCTCAGCAAGTGATTTCCTTCCAGCTTTAAATTCCTAAAAGTAAATAAGGGAGGTTAAATTAGGGTCATCTGCAGACTGAAGTGAATCTGTGCAATGGGTTTAATAATATTCATTAGCCTCCCGCAGCAGTACATTAACTAAATTAACGCACGTTCCTGGAGAAACATCACCAGCTTTGGTGAAAGATGTGCTGAGCACTCGGCCTGAGCATCTGCCAGGCCCACACCTCACTTTTATTCTGAGCTTTCATTCAAATCAAGCTGGAACCAAGCAGAAAAAAGGAAGATCAACAACAACAACGAATGTACTGGTTCAAGACTGAGGTTAGCACTCTATGGCTTATACAGGCACAGCAGTGCTGTAAGGCTTGGGAACGTCTCCATTTGCACGCTGTGGATTTGGTGCCAGTTTCCTAAAGTCACTGAAATGAACCCCTAGTTACTAAAACCTGCAACAAAGTGGGGGTGCTCAAGCCTCTCTGCTGCAGCCGTGCGTCCGTGTGGTGCAGTGGTACCCTTGTCCAGCCGGCACACCGTGCAAGTGGATAACTGAGGGGGCCTGACATGAAGAGTGTAGGCCGTGCAATGACGCCACGGTGGCTGTGATTCCTTCCCAGGTTGCGCCATGGATCCCAGGTTTCCTTAACTAAAAGCTTAACTGACGGAGCAGGTCTCGCTCCACATTGAGGGTGACAAAGAACAGGGCTGGAAGGGGCTTTGGGCAGTGACTTAGACCCTGCTGCTCTACAGCAGGATGAACCCATTCCCAACATTTGACCTTTGCAGTCTTGACAATCCAAAGATACCAAGTCCATGGCCTCCCCGAATTATCCATGGATATCTAAAGCTTTGCCTCTGAAAGAGAGAGAGCAAGAGATGGGCCGGTGACAGACAAGCCCCTGAGCCCAGCTTTTCCCCATATCTCACTGATAACTGGTTGATTATCTTCCTTTGTACCCTCTTTGCCTCTTGCTGTGCTGTTTCAGACAGAATAAACCTAGCAATAATGAACCATCATCAAACTGGCAATTGCTTCCTGCCCAGCTTACGCTAGCAGAGAAAGAGAAAGCAAATGATGATTAGTCGTATGCCTGCACTCAAAGATAAAACCCCCGAGCAGAAGCCATCTGCCGAGGCATAAAATAATAATTCTGGCGCTAGCCTTGTCTGAGTGCAATGCCATCAGCTCTCACCGAAACACAGCGTAATGCCGGCCTAATGCTGAGTTCTAGCAGGTGGCCCATAACCCTGTAATAAACTCCCTGACATTATTGATTTTTCCCCCCAAAGTGAGCCCTTTTGTCTAACTACATTAACTTCTGCTTACTGAGCATCTGCGCGTGAGGCAGAATGCACATAAACAGCGGCTCATTTCGGTGAGCAATCGCTGCTCTAAACATGTCCCTGGTTCCCCGAGCCGATCCGTACACGCTGTCATCTGCTCAGATGGGTTATTTCGGAAGTCGAAACCAGCACTTGTTAGTTATGGGTGCTTACAGGGAACCCTGACAAAAATCTTAACTAGGGGGAACTGAAACATGCTTTCACCGCTAATTATGCATACAAATGGCCCTGAAAATAGGACCCAGGCACTCGATTACTGTTGCATACCTTCAGCCCAAATCTGCCCCTGCTCGTACGCATGTGCTTCCGAAGCATGTGGCCAGCGCAGCCTTTGCCTTTGCTTTGATGTTCGGAGGTGCGTCGCACGGTGCCAAAAAATCCTGCTCGCTCGGCCAACCTCACGGCCCACCCTTCTGAGGTGGTGGAAAGGCGTCCGGGCTGGGCTTCCCGGCGGCCCCCAGATGCTGAGCAGGTCCTGCCGAGGTTCTTGGGAGCGGGGCAGCGCTCAAAGGGGAAGATTCGTCCCTTTGCAGACCGAAGCAAGCTAAATCCGAGGTCCCGAGGCATCTTCTGGATTTCTGTGTGGGTTTGGAAGCAATGTTACTGGTTGAGGCAAGCGGTTGGCAGCCGTGCTCCAAAAGGGATCTGGCAGTGACGTTCCCTCTCAAATGTCTGGCTATCAGCTTTAAGCGCAATAAGCTTTACATACAGCCTGGAACACTATTGTTTTCTAAATGAGACAGGGTTTTTTTAAGCACTTTTCTGTTCAGGCATTACATTTGTAGCTGTGCAGTGACAAGGAGGCACCTAGGGACCGTGAGCTCTGGTGGTGGGGCTGAAGCAGAGCCCCCGGGGCTGCCTGCATGCCCAGGTCCCTGCAGGCAGGGCTGGCTTCAGTCCCCTCTTGGGAAGCAGGGGCAGATTGCTGGGAAGCAGGGGCAGATCGCTGGCCTGGGCGGCACAGGGAGTTAGTACTGGGTCCTGCTGCGCCCTGCGTGCAGAAGGAGGGAGGCCTCAAGGCCCAGAGTCTTTGCTTTAAGCTAAACTTAAAGGCAGAAGAGGTCCAGCAGAGGCACGCAGGTCCAACCTGCAACTCCCGGGCTTGCCTGTCCCGGTGGTGGGAGCTGCATCCATTGCACCCCCAGCACAGGGAGCGCCCGCTCCGGCCGTGAGCCCTCGCGTTAGGGCTCTCGATGCTGCAGCCAGCGAGGCACCACCCGGCAGCGATGAATCACAGCCGTGCCTGGGGAGGGGGTGGCTTGTGTTTGTGTTGGCAAAACGGGCTGCGAGTGGCGGCAGGCCCAGACAGCACGAGAGGCTGAATCTGGAAGGGCCCCATTGCCGAGGCAGGGATCAATGGGAGAGGGGAGGTTTAACATCGCAGAGTGACGGCTCCTGCCAAGAGCTCTTCCACAATAAAACCAGCAAATCAATCCACCATCCGCTGAGTAACTCCAGATGAGGATTGCTCGTTTTGCCTAATAAATACGACCAACAGTTTGCTGTTCCTTTAACGGTAGTTTAAGAAAAAAACCCAACACAGCTATACTGTCCAGAGCATCAGAGAATCCCGTTCCCCTCCTCAGTTAGAAGGGGTCAACACTTGGCAGAGCAGAAAAGAGCAGGGACATCCCATAGGAGCTTGGGAAGGGTAAGAAAAAGGGCAAAGAAATTATCATTTACAAACCCCAGCAACAGTTAAGCCAATTCTAGATGATCGGCCCTAACCAGGACCCTGGGCATCCTAGGAGGGCTTTTCAGGATGGTGGTGTACTATTGGAGGGACATCGGTGGAGCACAGACCTCGTGTCCCCGCTGCTGGAGCAGATCTGGGATGTTGCTTTGTGCCATCACGGCTCAGGTTTGTCCATCTGAGATGCAGAGAAAGCTCATCCCAGCTCACCATCCAACCAACTCAGATCAATACCTTGGTCAGAAAGGGGATTTTGGGGTAGTAGCAGGGTTTATTCCAAGGCTTGAACTCATTTGGGAAGATTCTTATCACATTAGCATCTGACGTGGAAGAGACAAGATAAGCTGTAAGTTTGGTGTTCATAATAGATTTGTAGAAAAAAAGTGAGTGATGCTTTATAAACAAGAAAGAACAGAAAAACTATGCCCAAGAACCTTGACAAAGACCCCGATTCACAGCTGGCATCAGTTGGTGTTGTTCTGGAGACCCCAGTCAGATCCTTTGAGGTCAGTGGAGCTCAACTAATTTACACCAGACAAGAAACCTCAATGAAACCCAGGAGGTTCTGAGGGCATTAGTCAGGCAGAGAGAGCTTGGCTATCCCTGCTGGGACAACTGAGGTCCCCACTGTCCCCAGGCCAACCCGGGGCAGCCCGCGTACTGGTGTCCCCTCCAGGGTGTGCTCCTCGGGTTGGGTGACAGCATGTCTGGGATGTCCTGGCAGGGACGGGGCAGCTGTCGAGGGTTACACAGAGTCCTCGCTGCCTCCTCTGACCTCAGGAGCTGCCTGCCCGCATTCATGGGGAGATTTATGGTGCTGTTTTCCTCTCTCTCCCGGCTATGTTCAAGTGGCCAAGGGACTGATCCTTCACGGGGCTGAGCACTCCCTGTTCCTGGAGCGATGGGAGTCGGATGGGCACAGCGTCTGTCCAGTTTCCATTGGATTAGGCCAGGATTTGATTCCCTAAGAGGCTTCCCATGCGAAAGTTTTGCTGAAAGCCCGATTTCTCAGTTAACACAAGTTCCCTGTGCCTCATTTGTAATGTTAGTCTGGTGACCTGACAAAACCAGCATTGTCATTAATGACAATTGCTATGCCTTTTCCCCAAGCTCCTATGGGACGCCCCTGCCCCTCTCTGCTGTGCCAAGTGTGGACCCAACGTTTGAGGTGACTACACATCAAATCCAGCCATTCACATGGCCTTTCCTTAAACAACCTCAGTGACCTGCAAGAGGGACACAATCAAATCAACTGGGTCGCAATGTGCCGTGCCACTGCTCCTTCAGCTGGGCTCATTAACCTGTCACCCCTTGAGCCCCGCCATCCTGGCCATCATCCACTGAATCCAGGTGCCGAAAGCAGGCGGCCGTGCTGGACTTACCTGTCCCTGGAGAATATCCCTCTGGATGGAGGAGGGCATAGCAAAGCAGAAGACTGCTCCGTCTGTCTGATGCAAACCAGTGTCTGATTCTTCAGAGCCCCACTCTGCTTCCCCCACAGCTGAAATGTGCCTCTGGGCAAGGGATCCTTGGTCTGAGCGGGGGGGAAAATCCAAGATAGTGTTTTTCCTTCCTCCTCGGAAGAGAGTCCTGCCTGCGGTGGGCCCACGCTGGTGGCCAACGCGTGCAAGGAGGTGGCGTTGTGGCACCAGAAGAGGGGACGGAAGCTGCAGAGCACCATGGACCCACCAGCTCCCCGCTTCTGGCCCAGGGGGGTATTGGGTTAAACCAGCCCAAAAGGACCCTGAGAATGGCAGGGATTTATCCACAGCCAAGTGGTGGCAACACCATGGACCAATGGAAAATTGAGGGGAGTGAGACCCCCGCACTCATCACAGCGGCTCCTCCAGTGCCTGGGATACCTGCGCTCTTCGAGCCCCACGTACAGCTGGTTCCAAAGCTTAGCTGTAGTCAGTTTTACAATATAAAGTGTCTTTGTTTAGTCAACAGAACCACTAATACATCCGATTTTGTTGTTAATAGAGCTGTAAGAATTTTAAGTACCTCTTGGGAATGTGTCATTTTTGGTTGGCTTTTTTAGGCATCACAGGGTGCTGCGTTTGTCTTTGTAAACAAGTACTGAATAAAACATTTTGCGCACAGCCGCACTTTGTACAAGTGTCATGCAGGTTTCTAAAGTTTCAGAGAGAATAAATCAACTGCAAACTGCTGCCTGGCGGTTGACTTCTCTCCTTATAAATAGCTAATTTGGACAACTTCTCTCTGCGCGTCATATGAAATTCAAATACTGTGCATATCGTTAATGTGGTCGCACAAATCAAAACTGCTACAGCCTCTTTTATAAGCCTGGGTTGCCACAGAAATGCCACAGCCAAGGGCAGATCGGCTCCGGATTGCTCTCCCTTCCTTTTGGAGGCGATCCTGGGGGAACACCAGCAGGTCACTGCCCTCTGCTGCCTTGCCCCAGGGGAGGAGCAGGAGCCCCACAGCCCAGGGCAGTGCCTGCATGGTGGCCCAGTTCGCTGCTGGTTGGACTGGTTGGCAGCCGTCATCACTCAGGGGAGAATTAGGCCCAAACTCAGTCATGAAAAACCACCCTGGTTTAATAAACCCAACAGAAAAAAACTTGACTAAAGTAAGGGTTGATTGCGCCCGGGTCTGTCAGCTTTGTGGCGCCCAGCGCCAAGCACGGGACGGATGCACAGCCTTCCCTCCTCCCAAAGCACAGGACCTGGGATGCAAACTTACCTGGTCCACCCAGGAGGCTCTTAGCACCATGCAGGATCCATCCAAGCTAGCCCAGAACCCAGCCCAAAGGCTCTAATCCTGCAAGGTGCTGAGCAACTCTGGCTTCTGCTACTTGTCTCTGGATCTTGGCACGTGTTCAGCACGAGCAGGATCAGCCCCTTGCTGTAATAATCAGGGAACGAGGAACTCAGCTTGACTGAATTCCCCCCCTGCCCCCCAATGCAAAAATGCTGTACATTCCTTTATGCAGGTTTCCATAGAGTTGAACTTCTACTATTTTTTTGTTGTCGCTGTTAAAGGGGTCAGCAATGCACTGTACAACGGGATCTGGCCTCAGGAAATGTGGAGGAATTCAGGCACACTTTTAACATCTTGCTGGTGGGGTTGGAGGGCAGCACGAAAACCCGCATCCTGGAAATCTCCCCACCAACGAGAAGAAAGAAGCCCGGAGGAACCCCAGGAGAAGTTATGAGGACATACTGCTTTGTCGATCCTAAGTTTAAATAAGTTATTTCTTCCCTACTTCCTTTGTTAAAATATGATATTCTAGCTTTAATTGCTTCAATCCTATTACTTGTTCCTTTTAGCAAGCGATTGTGTAGCCCCTTGCCGTGGGGAAATCCCCTGACCGTGGGTCCGTGTTATTCAGACAAGTACTCTTTCAGAAGCAAATGCCATTCTTAGCATAGGGAAGTACTTTAGGTCTAAAGGGGTTAAGAAGGCCTCCCTGTATTCAGAAACATGCAGGGGTCCCACCGTGCCAGTTCCAGCCTTTTAAACTCTTTCCAGCTTTTTTTTCTTGCAACAAATCCGTCTGACTGCCACCAGGACATAGGAAGCGTGTGCCTGTCAAAGAAATCAAGTTTACTTTTTCTGACTTGTTAACAGAGGCAGGGTATAAATAGAGCTAACTCTGCTCAGACTATTAGCATTTCTCTTAAAATAAGGGGTAACTTCCTAGGACCTTTCATCCAATGAGGTCCAGACCAAACTGCGCTATCAACAGAGGCAGCACAGGAGCTTGCTGAAGTTTTTACAGGAGTCAGGTGCATTTGGGTTCCTTGAGAATTTAAGGCTTACCAAAAAAAAAAAAAAAAAAAAA